TATAGGCAATACCGACAGAATTAATCGCTAAAAAGTAAATATGAAACCGAAATGGCGAAAGGAGGATTACTTAATGAATGGCAGGAAAATGGTATACATGAATTCTTGATTTCTTCCGAAATTGAAACAATACAATAATAGTTAGTTAAGGGGGATATTTACAAGTTGCAACTATTAGTTAGCCGTAAAACAGTCAAGTCGAGTAACAGTCAACATTCGAAAATAAAAATCTCAAAAATCGTACATCTTTGATTTCCGAAATAATTTGTGAGGTGGTTATTAAGATGATAATACACATTTCAACGTTTTAATTTTGAGTAGATCTCGGATCCATTCTCAACAAAGCGTTCTCGAAATAAGTATTCGAAATACTTGAGTTCGGGATGATAAAAGTACTGCTCCTTAACAAACTCCTTTGGGAACAAGATATAGAATCAAATGCATATTCTTCTTATTTACTTCCTGACACATGCCAACGAATGGTACATAAGTAAATATCTCCGTTTTAAATAATTTTGTAAACGTTGTTCCCTACAGGTGCCATTTTTATAATTGAAAAACAAAATTGAACATTTTTGCATTTCTTAATTGATAAGTTCTTGGAATACAACTTAACCGTTAACGATTTAAATCATTTCCCTTGGTGATCCCACGCTAAATATACAGTAACTAGGTCATTGTTTTGTGTTCAACCTTGTTTTCATGACTTTTAAACATGAGTCGACAATTATGTAGGAAATTTCAATTCCAAATGTAAGTGTCAACTCCAGTTTTTGCACAAAATTTAGCCTTTTATAATGATAGGTCATCAACATATGCATGTTCCTCTCAATGAGGTGACAAGTTTTTATTAAAATAGATGCTGAGCTATAAGCCTGGGAACATCTTTTGAGACTTTGTTTCGTTCTTCACATTTACGTCATCTACTATCTAAAGTCTTTCCTGGTACCTATCATAATAACAATGAGATCCCGTGGATATTCTTTTCTGATATTTAGTTAATTTTCACATGACTTGATTATGGGTTAGCTACAGTATAGTAAAATAACTATTTTGGCATATCAAATAAGCATGCACTTTTTATGTGATAACTGACTTATAGATACAGTAGCTCCCTTTTGAGAGAATCTGAGGAGCAGACAATGCTGCAATGCTGTAGTGTGATTCTGTGATTATTGGTTTACTAGTTCAGTAAAATCAATCAAAGCAGATTGAGTACTGTAATCTATGGATTTTGCATAACACTGGTACATGTCCAGTATGCAGTCAATATGGTATGACGAAAATGCGACTTCTGCGTATGTTAAAATATTTCGTCAAAACTCAACTTTTGTTCAAGTTGATACGATTGTCTTTCGAACTAGAGACTTACCTCATTCAAAAGATCCCAAAAGACTTTATCTATACTGAAAATCTTAGATCCCAACACAGTAGAATGCGCCGTCAGTCCGCTTTTGATTTTTTGAAGTGAGTTTCGTAGATCGTCACGGTCAGATTTCTCCGACAGATATCGGGTCATCTCAAATTGGTTAGTTTATAAATACGAATTTCTTTACCCTTGTAAAACGCATGCGCAAAATTAATTTATAAACGTGATTGCTTGATGATTTTCTCCTGAGCACGCGCGAAGTATTATGAACACTCATGATGAAGACATATAGAGCATTACTAGCTCTCGAACGAAATCCCAAGATTCAGATCATTTTGCTATGTTTGCTAAGCGCGTATATGTGAATGACAGGCTCTTTTGAGTAGATCAGGTACTTGTTTTAGACACAACATTGATCAAGCTTGACATTGAGGTGCACATTCGCATGTTAATACAAGTATTTACATCCGTAGCAGGAGGGGTTTTCGAAAAATCGGTTATCTGATTCACTCGATTATCGTATTGATATGTATTTCTGCTGACGTTTTAACAACACATTATATAGAATTACGATGCAGAATGATAATAAAACACAAAACATCTACTAAATTCCACTTGTTATTCCAAAGGAGGTAAAAATGCACGCTGCCTAGATTTTTTGGAAGGGATGTCAGACCTCGGATTGGCAGCCATACTTGAAATGAAAATAATAATTTGATACAAGTCTCCTGTGTGCTCGCAAAAATGTAAAAGTTACTCTTTCTAGAGGCTTTTATTTGATACTATTCTAGACTATAGAAAGAAGTGTACTATATAACTAGTTAAATAACGCCCCTCCTCCATAAATCCAATGGCAAATTAACACGTGGAGGTGCTATTTAACTTAACTAGTTATATATAGGAATCTAAACCTTTTTAATAATCATTTATTATCCACTAGGAAGAAGTGTACTATATAACTAGTTAAATACCGCCTCTCCTCCGTAAATCCAACGGCAAACTAACACGTAGGGGCGCTATTTAACTAGTTATATACAAGAATCCAAATCTTTTCCATAATAATTTATTATTCACTAGGAAGAAGTGTACTATATAACTAGTTAAATAGCGCCCCTCCTCCATAAATCCAATGGCAAATTAACACGTCGGGGCGATATCTAACTAGTTATATATAGGAATCCGATTCTTTTCAATAATCATTTATTATCCACTAGGAAGAAGTGTACTATATAAATAGTTTAATAGCGCCCCTCCTTCATAAATCCAATGGCAAATTAACACGTAGGGGCGCTATTTAACTAGTTATATATAGGAATCCGAATCGTTTCCATAATAATTTATTATCCACTAGGAAGAAGTGTACTATATAACTAGTTCAATAGCGCCCCTCCTCCATAACTCCAATGGGAAATTAACACGTGGGGGCGCTATTTAGCTAGTTATATAAGACACCTTTTTACCAATTTATTATACGTAATCAAACAAAACTTATTCTACTTTTTTATTTCCTATATATTTATCAGATATATTTTTTATTACACACCCAACATTCATGCCTTGCATTCTAAAAGGGATTTATTTTTGGGGCCTAATATAAAAAGGGCCAAGGTATTTGTTGGGGGAAAGTTAAATAAAGTTAAGATTATTAAAAAGGGGCGCTATTTAATAGTGTCCCCGAATGCTAAAATCATAATGTGAGGGGCACTATTTTATAATGTCCCTCATATTATGTTGTCAGCATCCAGGGTCACTATAAAATAATGCCCCCAAACAGAGATTGAGGGCATGATGAAACAATGCCCTTCACACAGTGTAAAAAGATAATTAAAAAGGGGAGCTATTTAATAGTGCCCCCGAATGCTAAAATCATAATGTGAAGGACACTATTTTATAATGCCCCTCATATTATGTTATCAGCATCCAGGGTCACTATAAAATAATGCCCCCAAACAGAAATTGAGGGCATGATGAAACAATGCCCTTCACGCAGTGTTTTAATTATCATATGTCTACACATCATGATCATTATCGGTGGAAAAATAAACATGCATAGATGAATCATATGATAACAAAATACAAAAATGTGTAAAGTATGAATGTTGGATGTCCTTAAGAAGCTACCAACTGAGCTCTGATAGACTATGAAATCCCGTTTGAAATGGTTTGAATATATACCTTAAATCAAACTAGAGTATATTCACACCCCTATAGACTGTTAACCGTACTTATTCAGATACTTTTCCCATAGCAAAATAAAACATTTGTCCTACTTTGTAGAAGTATGTCTTCTGTCTCCTAAATTAGATGATCAATTGTGATTTTTCAACTAGGTTAATGACATTGCAAGATTAATACGGTCTACATTAAATACTTTATTATGTCAAGAATGTTGATTAATTATATTTCATTTTACAAGTAAACATATATGATCGCAAAAATAAATATGCCCATTGTTGATATCATGATTTGATATTGACTCACATTTCTATTTTATATATTTACCGTAATCGCCGTATCAAGGGCCCATCCCTGATAAGCGCCCATCCTGCTTCAAAGAGTTCAAGAAATACCGAGGAATGACCAAGTATTAACGAATATATCAGAAAAAAATCAATTTGGAAATATAGTGGGCGATAATAGAGTACTTACACTAAAAAGCAGAAAACATGACGCATTTTGTAAATCGATGAATCCTCCCGATGGATATCTATCAGTGGGTGCTTCTCATATCATACTAAGCTAATATTATCTCAGAGCTCATAATGAATGAAGGAAATGATCATGTTTCCGAGATTTGTTACGACATTTTACTAACTTTGCGATCGTTAAGGTCATGAATTTTTAGCAAAAAAAATCCCATTCAAGAAATTCCTGGGGATTTTTGACTTCTCTCATATAGGGGCGCTCTTTTTAATGGGTTACAATGGGAATTGTAATTTCAAAAGCGCCCTGGGCGTTTATTACGGCGAATACGGTAGGTGCCCTTTTTATTCCATATGCTAAATTAACATTTTACAATATATACATAATTATTATATCGTCCTGTTATAAGCTTAACATTGTTGGCAGTAGGTAAGAATATCACTGTGAATATGCATGATAGAGACATTTCTCAACTCACTTATTAGCATGTTTATTATTCCCGTATAACGTATGATCGTCTATAACTTATGCCTGGGTCACATATGTTCCGATCCATCGGCCGGCGCCCGACCGATTGAGTGTTTTTTCAATATTGTATTCAAGTTTGAACAAAATACTCAATCGGCCGGGCGCCGTAGTGAAAATCGGAGCAAATGTATCCAAGGCATTAGGAATTCGATTGTGTCATTATTTATTGCACGGCTATATACGTCAATAAGTGTAAATATTATTACGCATAGCCGACGATTTATAAGAACATCACACTTATGGACGTACATAGCTGCGCAGGTTAGTTGCTGCAAAATCTCTATTATCATAATATGAAACTAAATGAAGTTTAACTATATGTTAATGAACATTAGGACGTATAATATATTAGTTATTGGTCAGCACACTATTAGTTACAAAGGCTTGGTAATCAACTATCGATTTTATTTTACTGGATCAATATGAAATTTCAGCACGTTAAGTGCAACATAGATATATTATTCAATCATTATTAATTTCGATAAAAGTCGGAAATAGTCATATATTGGTGGATATCTAGCTATAGAGGATACCTAAAAATGTACAGTATAACGGACAAACTAATATAAATACAAAACTAATATAACTTATTTTATCGGCGCTTTGCACACAAAACATTGGATTTGCAGTAAGTGAGTACATCATGTATACTAATATCAATAAAATTGTGAAAACAGTGATGTAATTGATTATATGATAGCGACGCAGTATGCATTAAAACTTTCCGAGACCTATATATTTTTTAATTGTCATTTTATACATTATCTCCATAATTAATAAAAAAAAGGAATTCAAGATACATTATCAATACAAATTATTTTTGCATCTTTGAAGGCATGCAGTTTCTGTGTGATTTTATTAAAATCGAAAATGTTCAGCAGAAATCAACATTCTCTGAATATTTTGTATTTTGATGATATTATGATAGTTTATGTTGTGAGAGTACTTGAACCACGTCAACTGCCACCAAACTGTCACGCTATATAGGTCTTGGAAAGGTTTCATGCATACTGCGTCGCTATAGAATGAATTGCATCGCTATTTTCACAATTTATTTGATATTAGGTGTCAACTTCAGACATATGAATATATTCAAAGACCCAAAATGGCATAGTTACAGAAAGATCACACATTTAAATTAAAAATGACCATTAACTCCGCACCCTCCGCCCATTCATGCCGTACCCGATTTCACACGTTCCGTTTGCATAGGGTGCAATATAAACCTCGTGTATATCGGCACACCATAGCTTGGCGACTTTAAAATTCAAGAATATACAATATTTGTGATCTCCCGTACTCTCGTAATATCTAAATCTCTCGTTCAATAAGAAAAGTTTAACGTCCTGTCAACCTATCGAATAATATATTTTAATTTCAATACTTAGAAATTAAAGGTTAATTTTCACTCTTAAGATAAACTTGATGATGTGTGTGGACAATGCGACAAACGCATATATAAATAAATATTCAAACTCATTTTCATGTATAGTCGAAATATTAGTGATAGGGGAATTTTTCAGATAAGCCTTAATTAAGCTGTTTCCTCCTATTCATCCTCCAATCGTTTTGATGAATTTAAATGACAAAACATATATTCCTGCATACGTTTTCCTTTGTTGAACGCTTGTAAACATTACCATCTACTTATTATTGAGGGGTTTAACAGGGGTCCACAAAAAATAACAAATAATAGATTTTAATATTTTTGAAGTTTACTACGGATTATCTATGAATCGTTTTGGGGAAGGTTATTATCATGACATATTGATTTTATCTGCTTAATTGAAAATAGATCGCCTGTCTGACTATATTTTGCATTCAAAATAATTAAAAATAATTGATCCATTTAGTTCAATTCCTTTTAACATCATCTTGTTTTTTGTTGATCCACCAATTAGTTTGATATGTTTAAATGATAAAACATATTTTTCTACATACGTTTTCACATGTTGAGCACTTGTCAACATTAAAATTTATTTATTATTGAGGGGTTCACAAAAAAATTAAAATATTAGATTTTGATATCTTTGAAGTTTACAACGGATTATGTACTTATCGGTTTTTGGGAAGGTTATAAGCATGGAATATTAATTTTATCTGTTTAATTGAAAATAAGATCGCCTGTCTGACTGCATTCTGCAAAATGATTAAAAATAATTGTTCCATTTAGTTCACTTTCTTTTAACATCGTCTTGTTTTTTGTTGATCCGCCAATTCTTTTGATTTTTTTAAATAATAAAACATATAATACTACTTACATTTTCACCTGATGAGGAGCTGTCAACATTACCGATTACTTATAATTGAGGGGTTTAACAGGGGTCATAAAATTTTTTACAACAGATTACAACAGATTACCTACTCATTAATAGGCTTTTGGAAGGTTTATTAGTATGACATATTCATGTATCTGTTTAATTGAAAATAAGATCGCCTGTCTGATTATATTTTGCATTCAAAATAATTAAAATCAATGGTTCCATTTAGTTCACTCAGTCGATATGTTACGACTTGGCAAAGCTCTATTTAGTGATATTTTCATTTCAAATATGGCGGCCAATCCGATGTCTGACAACCCTTACAAAGAATCTAGGCAGTGTGCATTTTTACCTCCTGTGGAATAACAAGTGGAATTTAGTAGATGTCAGCAGAAATAAATATCCATACAATAATCGAGTGAATTAGATAACAGATTTTTCAACAACCCGTCTCCTGCTAAGAGTGTTAAAACTTGTATTAACATTCTCAAAAGTGCCAATGTGCACATCAATGTCAAGCTAAGTCTATGTTGTGTCTAAAACAGGTACCTGATCTACCCAAAACAGCTTGTCATTCACGTATACACGCTTAGCAAACACGGCGAAATGATCTGAATCTTGGAATTTCGTTCGGGAGCTAGTAATATTTGCTCCGGTCTTCGTCATAAGTGTTCATCAGATTTCACGCAATGTCAGGAGAAAACCATCAACCAATATCGTTTATAAATCAATTTTGCGCATGCGCCTTATAAGAGTAAAGAGTAAGAGTTGTGATAGCCCGATATCAGTTGGAGAAATCTGACGATCTATGAAACTCACTTCAAAAAATCAAATGCAAACTGACGGCGTATTCTACTATGCTGGGATCTAAGATTTTCAGTATAGATAAAGTCTTTTATGATCTTACGAATGAGGTAAGTCTCTAGTTCGAAAGACAATCACATCAACTTGAACAAAAGTTGAGTTTTGACGAAAAATGTTAACATGCGCAAAGGTCCCATTTTCGTTGTACCATATTGACTGCACTTTATTTTAACATCATCTTGTTTTCTGTTGATCTGCCAATTGTTTTGATCTTTAAATGATAAAATATATATTCCTACATACGTTTTCACCTTTCAGGACCTGTCAACATTGCTATTTACTTATTATTAGGGGGTTTAACAGGGATTGACAAAAAAATATTTTGATACTTTTGAAGTTTACAACATATTATCTTCTCATAATCGATTTTGGAAAGGTTATTAGTATGACATATTGATTTTATCTGTTTAATTAAAACTAAAATCGTTTGTCTGATTATTTTGCACTCAAAATGATAAAAAATAATGGATCCATTTAGTTCACTTTCTTTTAACATCATCTTGTTTTCTGTTGATCCACCAATTGTTAAATGATATGTTTAAATGATAAAACATATATTCCTACATACGTTTTCACCCATCGAGGACCTGTCAACATTACTGTTTACTTATCATTGAGGGTAAATGAAATGAAAAATATTAGATATTGACACTTTTGAAGTATACAACAAATTATCTTCTCATGAAGCGGCTTTTGGAAAGGTCATTAGCATGATAAATTGATTTCATCAGTTTAATTGAAACTAAAATCGTTTGTCTGATTACTTTCTTTTAACATCATCTTGTTTTCTTTTGATCAACCAATTGTTAAATGATATGTTTAAATGATAAAACATATATTCCTACATACGTTTTCATCCATCGAGGACCTGTCATCATTACTGTTTACTTATCATTGAGGGTCAATGAAATGAAAAAATATTAGATATTGACACTTTTGAAGTTTACAACGAATTATCTTCTCATGAAGCGGCTATTTATAAAAATAGATTTTAACATCAATAATGCATATCATTATTAAAAATATTTTACTCGTCTATATACATATTACATTACATACATTTTATTGATACAGTTTAACGAATGGGATTGGACAAAAGGCTTCTGCCTATTCTAAGTTCTCTCCTTTGGTTATGCCGGGCGAAAGGATATTTATGATTTTTGCGATACAGGCTTTCTCTGCAAGCACATAACTCTAGAAATAGATTAGCTTTTACCCTGATTATTTTATTTAGTACAAAATAGACTATCCCATGAGGCAATGCAAGGACCCATACTTTCTATTGAAATTACTTAAAGGCCCCATGTAAAGTTTAAACCACTTTGGCTTATATTGTAGTCTTACCCAATGTTATCAAAGTGTGGTATGTGAAACTTTTTTTTAATTTCAAAAAGTGGTTTTTGATAGACCTTTTGTTCCAAAATTTGTGAATTTATTTAAAACCAATTTTTAGAGGTCACTCATATTTTTAGAGGTCAATTCATACCAATGCATAGCATACATCCTCCCATGTTTTTTGCCGAAAAAATTAAGAAAATCGGTTGATAAACAAGCGAGAAATGAACGTATCAGTGCATGAAAATGGTTCTGAGAAAAATGCATTTCAAAATTTTAGTTCTCATAGAAACCAATGGTACAATGATATCTAAAACATAATTTATTCTTCCTTTTAACCTGGTTAGACAATCAACATTGTATTTTTTATGAAAGTCTAGCATATTTAGAAAAGATTGACATCGAAAAAAATAATTCAATTTTTTCAAAAAGTTTTTGTTACCTTAGTGACATCACTAATGTTTCAACATATTTTTGATAAGCTAAAACATTGAAGTGGCCCATTAAATATGACATTTTATTATTGAAATAGAGTGTCTTTTGTTCAATCTTTGCATTGGTGTTAAAAATATAATCTTTTTTGAAATGCATTAAGAAATATTTGATGATTAAGAAATTTCAACTTTTTTATAAAAATGGCGGGAAATTTGAATATTTGAGGAATGAAATGCTCACAACTTTTTTTTCAAAAATTTGTTTTTGTTCAAAAATCTCTTAAATCACTTTTTAAGTCCTGACAAATAGTAATTGAATGATAAAAAAATATTTTCAAACTTTAGACGGGGACTTTAATACCGCCTCACCAAATATTTCTTTCTCGAATAGGTATTCTGACACATCCAGCTCCTGATCATCCAATATTTGTTTAATATTGCCCGTAGAAATGACGTTAGTAGTATTATTACCACCGTTAATGCCTGGGGCTGAAATAACAAAAGTGATATGCATTAAACAATATTGCCGGGCATTATTGGCTGGCCACTATGACGTAACATTTTGCTCAGGTCGATATAGTAACATAAATACCTTCTAAACTAGCACTAATACCTCTAGAACATGCCTGCCCGTCAAGGTGGTAATAGAAGTAATTGATCTGAGAACTATCCACAAAAAAATATTTCTATTTTTGAATTAGACTTGAATTAAATCTTCAATAAATGAAAATCTGAACC